CACACACACACACACACACATAAATAAATAAAATTTAAAAATAAATAAATAAATAAAGCAGGCAGGACAGAAAATAATGACAAGGCCACAGCACTGAGGAGAAAGGTCACCCAGGCCAGGGGTCCTCTCTGTACCCACTCCCATGCCGGGGGCTGGCAGGGCTCATGCCCACCCACACACAGCCTTACCCTTGCCCTCTTTCGTCTTGGCCTTGCGGATGGGCATGGGCTGGGGCACCTGCTGGGGGCTGATGGCCAGTGCAGGGGCGATGGCGACCGTCTCTACAGCTGCAGCCACAGCTGCCGCTGCCGCCACCGCAGAACTGCCCTTGAAGGGGTTGTTGGCACTGAATTCCCGCCACTTGGCCCCCAAGACAGTCATCATTTTGGACATGGGGATCTTCGGGTTCTTCTTGGCAATAAGTGGCCTGTGGAGGCAGAGGCGGCAGTGAGGGCAGTGCCCACCCCCTCCCCATCCCTGCAGTATGCGACACCAGGCTCAGGTCCCCAGTTAGAGAAAGCTGAGACCAATGTGCACCCCAAACACCCCTGATTCCCTCTTTGTGGGTGGCAATTTTCTAAGGGGTTTGCAGATCCAGGACCAGAATGGCCTGCAGTAGGCCACCCCACAGGGACAGGGACAAGACCTGGGGTCCACTGACTCCAGGCCCAGCCAGGTGAGAAGTTGGCCAGACTACCCGCTCCCACCCCAAGAGGCAGGGTGCTACTTCTCGGGCCCCCTCCCCAGCCAGCCACCCACCGGAGGAACTGGCTGAAGGCCTTGTAGTTGGTCAGCGTGTGGTAGTCCTCCTCCGAAAACAGATAGTCCACGTCATCCAGGCCCCACTCAGCCATGAGCTGCCCTGAGGACTTGGGCTCCTAGGAAGACAGGGCCAGAGGCTCAATCAGGGGAGGGGGTCTCCTCTAGTCTGCAAGTCTCCTGGAAGGGCCCCGTCTCAGATGCCTCGGGGCAGAGGAGCAGTGTAACTTGACAGTGCTCAGTCTCGGCCACCAGTGACCCCTAGAGCACCCTGCTCCCCAGGGTCTGAAGAATGGGGCATCCCAGAGGCCAGCTCACACCCTTGGAGAGGTCACAGGTTCCCAGGGCAGCAGGGACAGTGGCCCAGCCAGGGGCAGAGCTAGACATCTCTTGGCCACTGTTTCACTTTCCAGATGGGGCACAGAGGCCATGACATCCTAGGGACATGGGTCCAGTGGCCCTAGACTTCAGGTGGCCACACAGCCCCAGGACAGCTGGGGTCAAAAAGGGAGACACAGGCTATGGGCTTGGGCCATCGGGCTCTGCCATGTCCGAGTCATTGTCCCTCTGCTTCAGTTTCCCCGTCCTTAACACGGGCACAAAGTATCGTAGGTGAGGCAGTCAGCACAGGTGCTTGAAGGGACATGGACCTGCATGAGGGTCTGCAAGGGCCCAAAGCAGCTGCCTCCCCCTGCCTAGCTGGCTTCCTCGTGATGCCAGAGGGGGCAGAGCTGTTTCTGTTCGAGGAGGTCAGGAGACAGCCTGCCCCATCAGAAACGCTGATCTGGCTCCCAGCTTGGACACCCTCCCGCTGTTTGGTGCTCTGGAGCCCCCCCAGCTGCACTGCACCCATTCATGGCTACGCTGTGTCTGAGCCAGAAGCAGAACCCACAAAGGCAAAGAGAGAAAAGCCACCCCTGAGCCTCATGTGGAGGCGTCCCTGAGCCTCATGTGGAGGCGTCCCTGAGCCTCATGTGGAGGCGTCCCTGAGCC